AATGTGCATGACCGAGACTCCGGGAAGAATGGTCAAGTTGTCTGTTACACTCCTCATAATTTACCTTTTCCTTTTTTTTTTCTTTTTCTTTACTCTTCCTCCTCCTCCTCCTCCTCCTTCCTCTGAGAGAGCACAAAACTGTGAGTGGCGGAGGAGCAGAGGGAGAGAGAGAATCCCAAGCAGGCTCCATGCTCAGTACAGACACCAGCACAAGGCTTGATCCCATGACCCTGGTATCATAAAGCTGAAATCACGAGTCAGACACTCAACCGGCTGAGCCACCCAGGCACTCCATTATTTACCTTTTCAATTAGAAAAGTCAATAGATTATTGTAGATTGTTGAAAGTATGAATTCTTGACAGAGAAGAAACTTCTGAATATAACATCACAGTGACCACAACAGACAGAAATTTACATCATCCTGCATGTGATCATTGTCAATGACAGTACACCTTCCTTCCCTGAAAACTTCTACACAGTCTATCTCCTTAAGAACAGCCATAGAAGAACCTTCATCTTCTCAGTGACAGGCCATGATTCCAACAGTGACAAGAATGCCCAGGTTATTCACTCCTTGGCTGAGGACACTATCCAAGGGTCGTCCTATGTCTCCACCAGTTCAGACACACTGGCTCATATACACACTGCATCCCTTCAACATGAGCAGTTTTGTGATCTCAAATGCAAGTGAAGGCAAGTGACAGTGGGAACCCCCTACTCACCAGCAACATGTCACTGAACTTGTTTCTGCTGGACCAGAAGGACAATGCACCAGAAATCCTGGACCCTACTCTCCCCACTGACATGTTCCACCATCATGGAACTGGTACCCTGCTCCACAGAACCTGGCTACCTGGTGACCAAGGTGGCTATAGACAGAGACTTGTGTCAGAACACCAGGCCTACCACCTGTTCAAGGCCAGTGAGCCAGGGCTCTTCATGGTAGGACTCCACACAGGAAAGGTGTGCACTGCATGGGCCCTGCTGCACAGAGACTGGCTCAAGCAGAGCCTGGTGGTGGTGGTCCAGGACCAAGGCCAGCCCCCTCTCTCGGCCACTTTCACCCTCACTGCAGCCTTGGCCCACAGCATCCCAGGTGGCCTGGCTGACCTCAACAGTCTGGAGGTCGTCACCTACCCAGAGATCTCAGACCTCACATTATACTTGGTGGTGACAGTGGCTGCAGTGTCCTGTATCTTCCTCACCTTTGTCATTGTGTGCTCAGGTTGTGGCATTGGCATATCTCAAATCTGCTGCAGGCTGCAGGGCTTGGGTTGGCTGTGCCTACTTCTTTGTGGGTGTGGATAGGTGTGGGCTTTCCTGCAGACCTATTCCAGGAAGCCTCACACAGGGCAGGCTCCTGAGAGAGTCACATGATCTTTCCACAGCCCAAGTATGACAATATGCTGATCAGCCAGGAGGGCTCTAGGAAAAAGGACCATTTGTGCGCTTCAGATGATTCCAGGTTTCCTATAGAAAATACCTCTTTGGGGGCGCCTGGGTGGCTCAGTTACTTAAGCATCAAACTTCCGCTCAGGTCATGATCCCACAGTTAACAAGTTTGAGCCCTGTGTCGGGCTCTGTGCTGACAGCTCAGAGCCTGGAGCCTGCTCAGATGTGTCTCCCTCTCCCTCTGCCCCTCCTCCACTTGTGCGCACGCTCTCTCTCTCTCTCTTCTCAGAAATAAACATTAAAAAAAAAATTTTTTTTTTAAGAAAATACTTCTTTGGCTCCAGTGAGTTCAACTTTTTCCTTTATTTTCTCTTATGATTTGGTTTTCTCTTTAAGGTTTCCACTTAAGGTATGATACATTCTCTTTAACATATTTCTCACTATCCAAGTTTTACTGGGCCTTGTTTTGTTCTAACATCTATAGGAGACATTTACTGGTTATATCACTGATATAAGTTTCTCATAATTAACCTAAATTAACCTAGGGTCAATGGATATCTTTTTCATGGGACTTCTCTCATTATTGAGCCATTGATATGGGCTATTGGGGTGGGGTTCCTTGGTTGATTATCAGTTCACTACTAATTCTTAGAGGTGGTTTTCCATTCCTGAAATTTATTATTGTTGCTATCTTCAGTGGCCACATAGTGAACTTCCTACTTATCTTTGAACTTCTTACATACCTCTGAAACATAAATACAGCTGACACTATGTGAAGGTAAATTAATGAGAAAACACATGCATTCTTCTTGAAGAAACTGAGAGCCCAGATTTTTCTGCTTCTGCTTTTCTGTTTCTATTATAGGACAACCCCCCTTTGAGGTTATGTTTTCCAGATCACATGTTTGTAGAGGTTGTTTGAATTTAAAGATCACTTCTGAGTAAGAATCACAATTCACTTAGAGGGGTTTCTGAGAATGAACACTGTTGAGGACAAAACAAGGGAAATAAACATTATTCAACTGTCTGTTATTTATGGCTCAATTCTCCAACCTTGAGGCTAGAAATAAACCTGGATAAGGAAGACAACTTAGGAAAATATTCTCAGGAACTGCTGGAAGAGGTTCTAAGAATATTTTACTATCTTTTAGATATAGGAAAGGAATAATATTTTTTCAAGTTTATTTTTTGAGGAGGGGGGCAATGAGTGGGGGAGGGGCAGAGAGGGGACAGAAGAACCCAAGCAGGCTCTGCACAGAGAGCAGAGAACCTGATGTGGGGCTCAAACTCTTAAACCACGAGATGATGACCTGAGCTGAAATCAAACATGACTGACTGAGCGACCCAGATGCCCCTATTTCATTTTATTTTAAACATAGTGGCATTCCGAGTAATAAATGACTTTCTAGGAGACTTTAAAAATAAACTATGAAGTTGACTCAAAAATTCTATTTGAAAAGTGCTGGCTAATAGGGGTAACATCTGGACAGCCATTATGACATACAGATGTTATACTGATTTCAAATACTCCTTACTCCTAATTTAGTAGGAAAAAATTAAAGCATGCTTCAGGATCATATTTTTAACTATGAAATAGGAAAACTGTCACTTGAAGTTTCTGTCCTCGCGAGTAACCATTGGTACTTAGTATTTACAAATATTAAGTATGTGTTAACTTGGGAAAAAACATAACATAGTGATGAAGGCTTGTAGGTCAGTAACTACTATTCTCTACCATTAATATCACTTGCCTTTAAAACAGAACACAAAGCTCACTGGGTGAATGGGCAGTGTGGAAAATGTTGAATTCTAGTTTTCTTAAACTAGATAGACTTTTGTATTGGTAACATTTTATATAACAAAATAGGCTTAAATATAAAATCCTTATTAATCTTAATGTTTCATCTTAAAAGAAGAGTTAAAGTATCTTGGATTTGCTTCAAAATAATGAGGGTGTACAAATTATATTAAATGAAGATGGCCTTGTGTTGATCGTTATTGTCATTGGGTGATGAGTATATGAAGATTCAATAATAATACTCCCTACTTTGTAGAAGTTTGAAATTTTCCTATAATAAATTTCTTTAAAACACTAAGCATATAGTCTGTAATAATATAATACTAAAATTAGGGGCTATTATATAAGTTCATTTTCAAGAAGCAATATATAAATATTCTATATATAGAGAAATAAATATCGTATGTTTCTATTTGTATGTAATTGGCCCCCAGTCCTCGGTGTTGCAGTTGACAGCCACTCAGGAGGACGAGGGGGTCAATGCAGAAGTAAACAACTACCTCAGGAGCACTTCACAGAGTACAGGGCATATATATAAATATGTATAGGAATTTCGAAGAGGAATATATATATTATAGAGATTGTAGAGAACAATTGGATTCAAGAGGAAAATGCCTGCGGTTCCACACGGGGCCTCTGGGCGCCGCTGTCGGCCAGTACAGGGCAAGCGCAGTCGCCTGGGATTTCTGTCTCCAGCCTGGGATTTCCTGGGCAGTCACCAACACAGAAGAAAATCTGCTCATACAACTGGGTCTCCTGGAGGCGCAGACTTTGCCCAACATTTACGGATTCCCAGGTACGCTTGTCATGGGTGGAATGCTCTTCCAGTGACGCCGTGGATTGCAGTTTCTTTGACATTCCGGAAAGACTGGGACCCAGCGAGAACTAGAGCGCGCAATGGGAGGGAGCTGCGTTCAGAGGCGCCCGGCCGGCAGGCGGCAGGTACTGTTTCCCTTCCTGCTACCTTTGTTCTACCCCGCGGTCAGCGAGCCGATCCGCTACTCGATTCCCGAGGAACTGGCCAAGGGCTCGGTGGTGGGGAACCTCGCCAAGGATCTCGGGCTCAGTGTCCTGGACGTGTCAGCTAGGAAGCTGCGAGTCAGCACGGAGAAGCTGCTTTTCAACGTAGACGCGGAGAGCGGGGACTTACTAGTGAAGGACCGAATAGACCGGGAGCAGATATGCAAAGAGAGAAGAAGATGTGAGTTGCAGTTGGAAGCCGTGGTGGAAAATCCTTTAAATATCTTTCATATCATTGTGGTTGTTGAGGATATTAATGACCATGCCCCTCAATTCGATAAAAAGGAAATACTTTTAGAAATTTTTGAATCTGTATCAGAAGGTGCACGAATATCCCTTGACCCTGCCACTGACCCCGATATAAACATGAACTCAGTTAAAGATTATCAGATAAATCCTAACCCTTATTTCTCATTAATGGTTAGAGTTAATTCCGATGGTGGTAAATATCCAGAGTTAACTTTGGAAAAACTCCTAGACAGGGAAGAGCAGCATTCTCATCACTTGATATTGACTGCCTTGGATGGGGGGAACCCACCAAGAAGTGCCACCACTCGAATAGAAATCTCTGTCAGGGATGCTAATGATAACTTTCCGGTGTTCAGCAAAGATGAATACAGAATCAGTATTAGTGAAAATCTGCCCCCTGGATCCTCCGTGTTGCAGGTGACAGCCACTGACAAGGATGAGGGGGTCAATGCAGAAGTGAACTACTACTTCAGGAGCACTGCTCAGAGTACAAGGTACATGTTCTTGCTGAATGAGAAAACAGGTATGATTAAGAATAACCAGTCATTGGATTTTGAGGATATAGAAAGATATACCATGGAAGTGGAAGCAAGGGATGGAGGTGGACTCTCTACCCAATGTAAAGTAATCATTGAAATCCTAGATGAAAACGACAACAGGCCAGAAATAATCATCACCTCTCTCTCTGATGAAATTTTGGAGGATTCTCTTCCAGGAATGGTGGTTGTTCTCTTCAAAACACGGGACAAGGATTTCGGGGGAAATGGAGAAGTCACATGTAACATAGAAAAGGATATTCCTTTCAAGATTTACTCCTCTTCTAATAATTACTACAAGCTGGTGACAGATGGACCCCTAGACCGAGAACAGACTCCGGAATACAACGTCAC